TATATTACTTTATGTCCTTTGTTTTCTTTGGCCAGGTTCATCTGTCACAAAGGAACCAGAACCACTGATATGTTTGTTTGTTTGTTTTATTTCCACTTTTTCATATCAATACAAAGAAACATACAAATAAATATAATGAATAACATGTAAGTTTGACAAAATTTGTTTCTAGTTAAAATAAAAGTTTCATACAAAAGGAAAAAGCAGGAGACCACATGTCGTAAGCGTAAATGCTTGAACATGACCGTGGCCTCTGCCGAGTTAACAAAATAAAAGAACAACCCATGCAACTGCATTGTATTCAATGTTAAATAAGATATAAGTGAAGTGATTAAAAGTGAGCATGGCTGAATTAATTTTGAGTGAAAATAACAAAACAAATTTAGTGAAATATTTCGTGTTGAGAAGTGCATTTGTGCAAGGTGCAAAAATTAGCTTGGTGGAACAAAAAAGAGACTAATACCATGATATTAATTGTGTGTTGGTTTCAGTTACGGGTGATAATATTAAATGTTTGTCAAGATATCATGCTCAGAGCAACACAGTGGCTTTGAACCACATCCAACCATCTCATGTCGGACCATCCTGATAAGATAATTCATACCCCTTGTGTGTGTCTTTTGTGTATTCTTGACAGCTAGTGTGTGCATTTGTTGCTTATGTGTTTGTAAATACATGAGGGTGGGTGGGTGTGTGTTTATAGAGAGAGAGAGAGAGAGAGAGAGAGAGCGAGAGAGAGAGAGCGAGAGAGAGAGAGCGAGAGAGAGAAAGAGAGAGAGAGCGAGAGAGAGAAAGAGAGAGAGAGAGAGAGAAAGATAGTGTTTGTATGTATAGCCTATGTGTGAAATTGGAATATTAGTGTGTGTACTGTAAGTGAACTCTTTGAGAGAAAAAAATCCGCAGTGTAAAACCAGGGACTTGTTAGTTGACAACCTGGTAAAACTATATAAACCAAGCACCAGAATAACCAGAAATGTTCACAAACAGACCCCCCCCCCCCCTTCCCCCAATAAAAATCCCCTCGCACGCACCACAGCTAGCTCACATACATTTTGTACACCTAAATGGCCAGCAAAACTGAAGTCCACGCGCATGCGTAATACATATACTAGGTACTGCAGCTCAGCCACAGTGCTGTGAACTCAGCTCGTGAATATTCATGACGCGTATACCTCTGAACCAATCAGGAGGCAGGATTTTACTCTCATAGGTAAACCTGTTTGGGAAAAAAAAATTCGCGGCCCGGTATGGAAACGGCCAAAATTTTCAACAAAAGTCAATCTGGGCGGTGAAGACGGTAGAAGCACGTTCAACACCCGGTATGCGCCCGGTGAGAACGGTCAGAAGATGGCAACGAAACGGTGAAAAGATTAATTTTATGATTTTTTTTTGCGGCCGGGGACAAGTTCGCTCAAAACCCAACGTTCTGGACTCTGTTTTTTTTTTTAATAGCCCGGCAGGTGGACGGTAGGCCTACACGGCAGAGTGTGAGAGCTCCATTAGCTGCTCGCATTGTCTTGTGCTGTTTGCTGCTTCATGTGACATGAATTCCTTTGCATTGGTCGGTTTTGTCAGATGCCGCCTTATCTAATGCACCATGAACATGAAAGACATTATTCTTGTCAGCGTTATTTACTCTTCGGGCACTACTCACCGTCATTAATGGTATCAATCAGCATAGCCCTTTGGGAGCGCTGGGCATCGGATAGCGGTCCGATCGTGATGGTGTGTGGTTTGGACCGGGAGCCTGTAGGCTGTAGACTACGACGGGATCGTGCTAGGCATCCCTGGGCGCAGCGGGAGCCCGAGTCGTTGTTGTCACAGATCAGGATTGAGCAGTGGACGTAAACCTGTTTCGAGAGACGAAAGAGCTTATTAAAAGGTGAAAATAGATTAAAAGCATCTTTACGACATGAAAGATGGTGTAACGCTAATCATAAATTGTTGTAAATTATAATAAAGTCCCGAATTTCAACGTAGGGGTTAAGAGTACATTTTTTTGTTGTTGGGGGGGGGGGGGGGGGGTCCCAACAATTTTGGAACGACTCGAGAGGGGGGGGGTGTAAGGTTACTTCACTTTTGTTGGGGGGGGGGGGTTACCCTTTGGTGTGTTTTTTTTATAAAAAAAAAAGGAGGGGGGGTTTCATCAAAATCAAAATACATAACAAACATTTAGAGAGGGTTCAACCTACGTGTAGGCCTATGTGTATGGGGACGGTTGACAAACACTATGAATATGACGGACAAAGAAAGAGGACAAAATATACAGTTCCTCAGGTAGACAAAGGAACATCCCTTCACTGCTATTATGTACAAATATGTAGAACAGGTGTCACATGCATATTCAGTAGCCGGGGAAAACAAAATCATCAAGAATCAGTTTTTAACAAAATATAGGTTATCATATTTAATGTCCATACAAATCCACCAACTAGATCCTCATTGCCTTGATCAAGAAGAGATTTCGGGATTTTTTTGGTACCATGGTAACCGTCGATATTGCTTGTATATGAAAACCTCGAGAACGCGCTCTTGCATATATATGGTAAGAAGTCGCTACGGCACTGTACGAATAAACCCACCCAAGCATTTCCCAATGCAAAGTTAATATTCAATTTCGATATATTAATCAAGACCCTGAAGGAATTTTAGGCATGCACCGGTAATTCAAGTTAATATTTTTTGCACTATGATTTTGCATTCAGTATTTGTGTGATGAATCATACAACTGGCGTGTGAAGTACTGCGCCAGTTGCTGACGCATTCCTACGTCAGTAGATCTTAGAATAAAGCCCCAGCTGCCTATGAGGTGTTATTTCGATTGCGTTATTACCTGCGCTTCTGCGCTAACTAATCGAGCCTGTGGTTAAGTCAAGTAGCCCATGCTTCCGTTTGCACGTATTTATTGTCTGCACCGTTCGAGGCAACTTTAGAATACCCGACTAGACGTTCGTAGGTTAGCCAACGCTTCATCAATGAAGCTAAATCTGAAGACTTTAAGTTTCCTAAGTAACGCTAAACCTAATCCTAACCCTAACCCTAGGTCTTCGACATAAATGAACATGAATCCTATTGGTGGGGGTATTCTAAAGTTAAGTCAACCCTTCATTTTACATTCACAGTTTTTCACTTCCACATGCCGCATCAGAGACCACACTAATCACTGACACAGTACTACGTCATAAAAAATGGCGCAGCGGGTTTAACGGATACGAGGGGTACAAAGGACCATTGTTGACACTCACCTTGTCGTAATCGCCAATGAAGGTGAAAGCATCGATACTGAATCTCTTGAAAGTTGAAGAGGCCCAATTGTAGATGACTGTTGTGCTGTCCACGGTACATCTACAAAACACAAACACATGTTTTGAAATAAATTGGCTTTCATGATGATATACCTAATGCATTTTTAGAACTTTAGGCTAATTCATAGGCGGACTAGGACTGAAATTCGGTTGATAATTTCGATGCGACCGGCCCACTCAACCTCTAGGTTACATAATATCGTCGGCCTTATGCCAAAAAAGGCCTTAACCCGATTTTGGGGGTTATTGAGTTATTAACATCACCTTGTAGATTTCAACATTCTCTTTAAAATGATGTGCTTCACTTGTTGAAATTCGATTTATTTATGAAGATAATTATGAATTTCAAAAGGGCCTTAGCGCGTATTTCATCTTTTCCCTTACGCCAAAAGGGCCTTAACCTACACGGCAAATTTTTTATCAATGACATATTATTTCGTAATTTCCATATAATTCAATAAATATCAGTAGAAACACCATTAAAAACATGATTAGTCTACAATAGACCCAATGTAATTAAAATAATCACTGAAAGTATATGTCATGAATTTAGATCATGAAATCTGAGTGAGATTTAAATTAGGTGTGGATGCAAAACCCGAGTCCATAGAAAATATAGGGAAGCTAACCCTCAATAGGTATATTCCCTAAAGAATCAACAGGATCAGATTAAAAACAGAGTGAGCAAAGGTACAACAAAAATAATCTACCCATTCTCGATGATATCATAGCGGTGATCGTCTCGTGGGTCCGGCGAGCTCGTTGCCCAGCACGACTCGATGAGAAGCGTTATGTTCGTAACGGACGTCAGACGGACGCCGAAGTATAGCGGTGTGCCGAGCATAACTTCGCCGGAATCGTTGACAGGTTGGTAGAAGCCTGAGTTTGTATACCGGTCAAGGTTCAGCAAGGACTCACCTTATCCTTCCTAGATGGTGAGTACACATTTGAGATATATAAATGTCAGACCTGTCACCTGGGTATATGGGACACATAAATGTACCAGCAATATTTGATCGATATATTTAAACTAACATATAATTTCAAATATGACAGAAAATAGTGATAATAATGATAATACTAATAAAAATAATAAAAACAAGTCAACGCAAAGCGTAGCACCCCCCGCAGGGTACAAATGGCCTATGTACGCCAGAACAAGTACCTCCATTGGACTATACTATTATATTACCAGGCAAGGAAGTAAACCACATTTTCATATATGTAATTATGTGTTTTTGCATATTTAATGAGCTCTGACCTTTCCCCTTCGACCTACATACTCAGAAATCAAACTTAGGCTGTACATGTATTTTGATATAATCGTTTCTTCATATAGAGTACCGAAGTGCTAATGCCATATCCGGCCGTCGTCCAGGTGACTAGTTTGAAACAACAGAGGCTGCTCATGTGGTTCACCGCAAAATCATTCAAGCAACGGGCTGGAGAAGGGCAAATTCAGTGTTTGAGGCTGGTGTGATCACTACACTATTTTTTGCACCAAAAATGTTTGGAAAAAGCAACCTTCACAACTTGGCCAATATAACGTCACACTTCGGTAATTCTATTTAGCGCAAATGTCCTCACGCTGTGGCGTCGAACATGATTACATTGTTCTTGCCAAAGCACATTGTGCCGAGCTGGGATTAGAACCCTCAACCCTTGGATTGATAGCCAAGTGAAATGAACTACTATTCCACGACATCTCCACCATCATGCCACGTTGCTCCTACCAGAATTTGCTTTACTTAAGCTACAAAGTAATTGAATCCTCACCTCTCCGGAAACATAAAGATCTCCTTTAGGCAAGAAGGACTCTTCCAAGACCTGTGTCCTCTCCAGGTAGCAAGTAACAGGGATATGAAGATAGTGTTCTCTGGTAATGAGCTCATTAGTTCCATTTTCAGGGCCAGGCTTGTAATACGTCACCATGTTGGTAAATATTATGTAGTTGTCGTCTTGCTGCGGGTATTGATGAGGAGGGGGGGGGGGTAGGGCATATTAAAGGAAAATGTTAATAGAGAAACTGTTATGATGGAGATACAATTAAAAGTGTACGGTTTGAGCTGTTCTACCGATGATTGTTGACAATAATCATGATAATAACATATGAATAAATTGTTTCTTCGTACCGGGTAACCATCTAACTGTAGAGTAGCAAATGTAGATTAAAGGTGTTTTCCATAAGACATTAGTGCTATGGCAGGGACTCTCACCTGTACCTTGTGGTCCACAATCCACTGACTTTATCTAGAAGACTACTACACTTCTACAAGGCCAAAAGTGATATAAAACCTCAACAATAATGTAAACCTCTGATTTACTATGGTCTGTCAAAAGGGTGAACAATTTGAATTAACAAAATACAATCCTAATAAAGACAAAGAATATAACTTTTTGTTTGTCTTTGGCCTTTATTGCCACCCATACATCGGTGGTCTATTCCAGGCTTTACGTATAAATCGCCTCTGAAAATTCGGGCCTTTGGGCTGAGAATATCGTGTTTAAAAGAAAAGGAAAGAAAATATTTTGGCTTGACAGCTTCAATATGTTTTTTGAAATAATTTCAACCTTGGGTCTTGGACGCAAATAGATGCATTTTAAAAAATATGGTTTTCCTTAAAATCTATGATCATAACCACTTGGTGTAATTCATCTAGCCACTATCATAATGATACAGATGTTAGAATTGTGATCCTCTAGACGATACTAACCTAATAATTACCGTTGGTGAAGGTGATGGGACAAACTATCACTTCCGAGGCGATCTGGATGATAGCGTATACATTCAGATCGCCGAGGAAGTGATAGTTTGCCATCGCCTGAAACCAAAAGGTGATTGTTTTGGTTTATATTACACATCGGAAACATTTCACTTCTTCCGTCATTTTAGAGCAACAAGTGATCAATTAACAGCTAGCAAACGGTGTACGATACGTACTGTACAGTACATACAGTATGGTGGTGTGACCATAGTTCGCGCGTGAACAAGGTTCGCGTACTAACACTAAAAGCGAAGAAAGAGGAGAACAATACGCAACATATACAATTAAAGTGCGTTGCACTGTGTAGATAGTACTACGATATACACAGTGCAACGCACTTTCACTGAAGATAGTAGTACTATCTACACAGTGTAACGAACTTTTCTTCTCCCATCAATGATGGGCGAACTATCTTTCATCACGTGATTTATTTTTGACCAATCGTAGAGCAAGATTCTTAGTATGTGGAATATAATTAAAAATATACGTCAATTACCGATGGAAAATAATCTTCTACGAGCACTCGTAAATATAGATAATTAACACGACCACTGAAAAATGGACCAGCGATTCATGAGAGTAATTGGAAACTCATCAGGTAGTATTTTTGTGATGTATCAATGGTAAATATACACTTCTTGACCATACCTCTTGCGTAGTACCACATCTATCGTACATGGTGGTGATCGCAACATGCTGACTGTCGTGGTCGTATCCAACACAAGACTCGTCTTCGAAATGGACATCGCGAGCGTCGTCGCTGATCTCGAGAAGGGATCTGTCCATAATGAGTGTCATTGACACGCTGTCACAAGTCAGGTCTGACTCTGCGAGAAGATATCAAATGGATATTGGCCCAACTACGAACTAAGTGTTCTTGCAATGTATGGATCTAACATGGCGAAGTTGCATTTTGAAGCGTTAGATTGTTTTCTCAAATCTTCAAAATTCATATTTTATGTATTATGTGTTTCTTCATTTTTTTCTCTCCGGAATTGAAATACAAAAATTAATTGTAGGTGAATCCAAAGTAGTAGTAGTAGTAGCTGTCTGTCGCGAAGCGACAATGACCGCCTTCATTTTCACTTTACAGCTGTTCTCCATACAGCTCGCTGGCCTGCAGCAGTTGTCCAAGTCTTGGTTTCAATTTGCCTCCGCTTAAGGTTCCTCTTGATCGTGTCCTTGTAGCGAAGCCGTGGACGACCAATCCCTCTTTCGCCAGCGGGTAGTTGCGAGAATAGTACTTGCTTTGGTAACCTCTCAGAGGGCATCCTGATGACATGGCCTGACCATCGTAGGTTCTTCCTGATGAGCAGGTCCTCCATAGAAGGAAGGTTTGCTCGCTCTAGTACCTCTTTGTTGGTCACCTTGTCCTTCCAACTGATTCTCATGATTGCTCGAAGGTGTCTCATCATGAACGCGTGAAGTTTCTTTACTTGACTTGTGTAGAGAGTCCAGCTTTCCGCACCGTATAAGAGAGTGGATAGGACGATAGCCCTGTAGATTTTGCATTTCACTCTTGTTGAGACATGATGGTTGTTCCATAGCCTGGTTCGCAGTCTTCCAAAGGCACTGCTGGCCTTTGACATTCTTTTCACCAGCTCAGAGTCGATGCGTCCGTCTTTGGATATAGTGCTGCCGAGGTAAGTGAAGTCATCTACCTGGTTTAGGGCTGTCCCATCCACTAGGATATCCTCCTCCTCTCGGTGGTCTGTACCTGGTTGGAATAGTACTTCAGTCTTTTTGATGTTTATTTGTAGACCGAACTTCTTTGAAGCTGATGAAAATACATCTATAACATGTTGCATCTGCTCTGGTGTATGAGAAACAAGAGCACTGTCATCTGCAAAGAGGAGTTCCCTCACGAGAATCTGTGTAGACTTCGTCTTAGCTTTGAAGTGTGCGACATTGAATAGGTCGGCGTCTTGACGTGATTGTATGTAAACGCCTTCCTCAAAGTCCGCAAAGGCCTCCTCCAGCATCGCCGAGAGAAAGATGGAGAACAGCGTAGGGGCCAACACACATCCTTGTTTAACACCGTTACTTACAGGGAAGCTATGGGATGTTTCGCCTGCTTCCTTGACTTTAGCCATCATACCCGTATGTAAGGACTCTACCATTCCGGTGAACTTCTCGGGACATCCATACTTTCGTAGTAGTTCCCAAAGACCTGTCCTACCAACAGTGTCAAAGGCTTTCGTGAAATCGACAAAAACCACATAGAGGGATCGGTTGTGCTCAATGCACTTCTCCTGTAGTTGTCTGAGGCAGAAGATCATATCTACTGTGCTGCGGTTGTTCCTAAATCCGCATTGCGTCTCCGGCAATATATCTGGTGCTATGTGGGTATTCAATCTGTTCAGAAGGATCCTGGCAAAAACTTTCCCTGCTATTGACAATAGCGATATTCCTCTGTAGTTTCCACATTGAGTTCTATCTCCTTTTTTGAAGACGACAATATTAGCATCCTTCCATTCCTGAGGTACGGAGCCTTCTGCCCATGCTTGGTATCCCATCCACTCCGGGTGCCTTGCCATCACCCAAGGAGGCAATTGCCAGGTTTAGCTCTTTTCGTGTTGGAATATCATCGAGTGCAGTAACTACAGGTCGCTGGTTGATCCTATCACGCGCTGCAGGCTCGATATCTCCTGGCTGGTTGAGTAGTGTCTCAAAATGCTGCGACCATCGTTCAAGCACCCTTTTGTTGTCTGAAAAGGTTGTGTTACCGTCCAGGGACTTGAGATGAACTGTACTCCTAGTCTGGGGGCCCCAGACTTCTTTCAGTCCAGTGTAGAAGGACTTCATGTCATAATTGTCTGCGGAGCGCTGCAGGTCCTCTGCCTTTTTCTCCCACCAGGTGGTTTTCATTTTCCGTGTGTACCTCTGCAAGTGTCTGCAGGCTTCCTTGTACGCGGTGGTGGTTGACCTGGTGCTTCTAGTCTGTAATACACGTTGGTGTGTTTCATTCCTTTTCTTCATGAGTATCAGAAGCTCGGAGTCTTCTGGGTCAAACCAGTCCTGGTGTTTTCGCTCTGGTTTACCGAGGGTGTTGCTCGCTGTGTCATATACTACTTTGCTGAGTGATGCCCAGGTCTGATCAACTGTCATTCCCTCTTGCACTCCCCAAGTCGCCAGAGCTTTCTCCATATCTTGCTCTAGCTTTAGCCGTTGTGTGTTGACGTGTAGCCGGTCTGTGTTCAGCTTTGCAAGTTTAGTAGCTCCTTGCTTCCTACGCTTTGAACGTAAAGCAAATGCAATCTTTGATCTTAGTAGCTGGTGATCGGTCAAGCAATTAGCTCCACGCATAGTTCTTGTGCTGTGAACATCCATTCTGTCTCGTTGTCTTGTTATGATGTAATCAATCAGGTGCCAATGCTTAGAGCGAGGGTGCATCCAGGTGGTTTTGTGTTCTTCCCTCTGCTTGAACACGGTGTTTGTCAGTAGGAGTTCGAACTCAGAGCACAGCGCTAGAAGTAGCTCACCATTGGTGTTGCGTTTACCGATTCCGTGCCTGCCTAACACCGACTGCCATTTTTCATAGTCTCGTCCTACCCGGGCATTGAAGTCTCCCATCAATATCAGCTTGTCAGTCCGGGGGGTGTCCCGCAACGTTCGTCTAAGCTGATTGTAGAAGTTCTCCTTTGTTTCATCCGGACTCGTCATGGTTGGTGCGTATACACTGATGAGAGTAGCATTTCCCTTCTTCATCAGTGGTACTGTCATTGTCATAATTCTATCATTCACCGCTTTAGGCATTTCTGTGAGCTTCGCTAAGATCTCTTTTTCTGATGGCGAATCCCACTCCAGCCTCTCGTCGTACCCCGTCCGGCTTGCCGCTCCAGAAGAAAGTGTAGCCCATGTCATCGAGCCTACCTGACTCGGAGAAACGTGTTTCACTCAGAGCAGCAATGTCAATTTTGTATTTCTCCAGCTCCATGGCTACAAGGGCAGTCCTTCTCTCTGGCCTGCCAGTTCCTTCCCGATCGAGGAGTGTCCTGACATTCCACTGTCCAAACGTCATTGTAGTAATTCCGCTGGTGTCATCTTTTTGTTGTTGTTGTTGTTGTTTGCTTCCTATCATACTTGGCACTGTCGACGGAAGTCCTGATCTAACAGCGCGGTCCTTGTTAACCCGGAAGACGACCGAACCGGTATGAAGTTTCATACTGTTGCGCATAGTGAAGTAATCCAAAGTAAGGTAGTGTTTAGTTCTTGTGATAAAAAACAATAAATAGGTAATTGGTATTTTTAATGTTAGAATAGTCGTACACAACATTATTTGTCTGCTGAATGGTGTGATTTCCAGTAAAGATTTGATGAACAGTGCTAATGAAACCTGTGAAGGCAAGGGGTCCATATTATCACGGTCATCCAAACCGATTGAGGGAGAACGAGTACCTCTGGAGAAAGGGCCATAGACTGTATCGGGACACCAAGAAGAAGCAAGCAGCTTGGAGAGACAAGGCAGAGAGCCTGGGGTACACTGCAGAAGTACTCCTTGGATGGTGGAAGCACATGCACTCCTGGTATGGGAAGCTACACCTCAATAAATCCGGGCAGGCCGCCGTCAAGCTCACTGACCGGGAGAAGTACGTCATGGCCAAGTGCAGTTTCCTGGAGGGTGAGATCCGCCACCGAGGAGCAGTCCCTCTGAGACCCCTCTCCCTCAGCCAGCCCACAGACAGCCAGGCATCTTAAAGCCAGGAGCCCTCGACAGCTGAACTTCCCATGGTGCCGAACTTGGAGGATCCCGTGGAAGATGACGCCGTGATGACGCACTTTTCCAGAACCCTCAAGGCCCAGCTGAAGTTCGTCCTACCCAGTACAGGTCTGCTCCTCCACCCCAGGCGACGTCACAGCCCTTCCACGGCTTTCAACAGCCCCTCACCTACCAAGGCTACGACTACCACGACTTCCCACAGAAGCAGAACTTTCCAGTCCAGGCCCATGTTCATCGGACGCCACAGACGCCACTCCTCACCCAGCTGCAGACCAGACAGCCCCAGCACACTCATCCCAACCCTTCCTCCACCCTAGAGCCACTCCTGACCCCACCGCCACCTGATGTACCCTCGAGGCCAAGCACAGCCACAGTCACTGCCTTACGCCTCACAGCTGAGACAATGGACATGACTCAGAGTGACTCAGAATAGTTTGAGAGGCTGGGTGGTATTCTCGAAAGCGGCCTAAGTTAAACCTGGCCTAACTTAGTCCGTGGTTTAGTTATTTATTTTTATTTTATTTATTTATTTTATTTATGCATGTTCACAATTTCACAATTCATTGAAGTTAACATCACATGAAAATTAATATAAGATGACAAATCATTTTCAATTTTACAATACATTTGAATTAACTTCACGTGAAAAAGAATATAACATTGTTTTATCAAAGACAAGTTGCAACTTATATACAGTTTGAAGAATGAACACACAAAGGTGATGAAACATAAGCAAATAGAGCTTGAATCGTTACAACACCTTTCAAATATATACTATATGACAAATAAAATTCCTAAAGTTTTGTAGTGAACTATTTACACTATTTACAAAGTTTTAAAAAAAGAAAGAATTTTTTTTTTTTCGTTAGGCCTAGTAACAAAATTATGTTAGATGACAAATAGATTATAATGTAAGTAATATCTTACATCTGTGAAATGATAATACACTTGAGTGCTCTTTTAAAAGAGTTTGTTGATTTTATATTTCGAATATCATTAGGTAAAGAATTCCATACATCTGGACCTCTGTGTCTGATTGATTTCTGGGCTAATGTAGTGTGAGGATTGACCACATGTAAATTCGATGACTGCCTTGTTGAATACGAATGAACCATGTTATTAGGTTGGAACATTGAAGATAATGACGTAGGTAATAATTTGATATTAAAACGGAACATAAATATGGCAATTTGGAGGAAGTTAATATCATCAATCTTTAAGCATTTCAGTTTAACAAATAGTGGGGTAGCATGGTCACGATAACCAGCTCGGGTACATATGCGTACAGCTTTCTTTTGTAACAGAAGAATATTATTAGTCACACACTTGGATGTTGCCCACAAAATATTACAATAAGAAATGTGTGGTAAAATTAGACTATTATATAGCATAAGTAATATTCTATCAGAAACAAAACATTTTATTCTATACAGTACGCCAATATTTCTGGAGATTGGTGTAACAATGTGTTTTACATGGTCGCTCCAGTCAAGTTTTTCATTGATATAGACACCAAGGAATTTCGTACATGTCTTTCTCTCTAAAGAAATATCATCTAGTTTAATATTAAGAGCAAGGTTGTCATTAGATTTTCTACCTCTAAAATGAATATAATTTGTTTTAAGAACATTGAGAGAGAGCACATTACTTCTAAACCATAAAGTCAACTTTGGCAGTTCCGAATTTAGTTTCTGTTCTAGAGTGTTGATTTCACGATGAGACAAGAAAACACTCGTATCATCTGCAAATAAGGTATAATTTAAAGTTTTAGATACATTACAAATATCATTGATATAAATAAGGAATAATAATGGGCCTAGGATGGATCCCTGCGGAACACCACATTTAAGATACAGAATGTCAGAGTTAACAGAGTTATAATAAGTGTACTGTCTTCTCATAGATAAGTAACTCGCAAGCCATTGTAAAGCTATGCCCCTTATTCCATAATGCTCTAACTTAGAAAGAAGAATTGAATGGTCAAGTGTGTCAAATGCTTTACTCAGATCCATAAATACACCAATGACATGCTCGTGAGCAGCGAGTGCACTTGAAACGCGATCATAAAATTTCAGTAGCGCAAGATCTGTAGAATGAGACCGCCGAAATCCAAATTGATCAGGATTCAATGATTCACATTTATCTAAAAAACTGTAGAGCCTGTTATAAACAATTCGTTCCAAAACTTTAGAAAAGCTAGGCAGTAATGAGATTGGTCTATAGTTAGAAACGACCATCACGTCATCTTTTTTATGAACAGGAATCACCTTTGCCAGTTTGAAAGAAGAAGGAAACACTCCGGTCATCAACGAGAGATTGCAAATGTGTACAAGAGGCGTTAGAATTGAACCAATGAACTTTTTCAATAAAAATGTACTGATTTCATCATGCCCAGAAGAGTGACTGTTTTTTAGCGATCTCACTACATTGAGAATTTCAATGTAATCCGTTGGTTTTAGAAAAATAGAAGTATTAGATGGTTCATTGAGGTACTGTGTGAAGTTGGTTCCATCTTTATTTATCATCTTGGCTTGATTTAGGCCAACATTGACAAAATAAGTGTTATATGCATTTGCAATATCTTCTGCATTTGTTATTGCTTTATTATCATGAACAATTTTTCCTGGAACTTCATGTTTTCCTTGCTTGCATAAAATATCCTTTACAATTTTCCAGGTAGATGAAATATTGCCATTTGCACTTTCAAACCTCTTAGAGTAAAATAAACGACGTGAACATCGTATAATTGATGTTAATTTATTTCTATATTTCTTGTATTTTTCAACATTATCTTGTGATCGTTTTTTCATACTTCTTTTATATAGTACGTTTCTTCTTTTATCGATCTAAGTATCCCTCTAGTAATCCATGGATGATTTCCTTTTCTCTTGTCGTTTAATTGCACATATGGAAAATGTTTATTAAAAAGATAATAAAACTTATTCCAAAATACTTCAAAAGCACTTTCTACATCGTCACAAATTATAACATCATTCCAATTTTCCGAGAGTAAATCTTCATTCAGACAAGAAACATTTTCATCAGTAATTTTACGTTTCTTTTCAATTCGCCTTTTTTGTGTTACATCAGTTTTGTGGTCAAAAAGTAAGCAAAACACAGGTAGATGATCAGATATTTCACAATAAAACAGACCTGATTGAGAAAAGCCTTTAGATGTTTTTACGAAAATATTATCCAACAATGAAGATGAATGATTACTAATTCTGGTTGGTTTATCAATCATAACACTGAATGCATTGGAATCTAGAATATTTCGAAGACGAAGTGAGTTTGGACTATTATTCAGTAAATCGATATTAAAATCACCCATAACACAAACAGATTTATTGAAAGAGTTGACAGTTGACATGAGCAATTCTAAATCATTTAAAAAGTCTACCATGTCTGTGCTGGGCGGTCTGTATATAACGCAAACAATAAAATTCTTTTCATTAGGAAGATCAACTTCAATACATAAGAGTTCCGCAGTTTCGTTTTGGAAAGAAATATCACGTCTGGGCTTAAAAGATAAAGAATCCGCGATATACATTAGAAGTCCGCCGCCCCTACCACTCGACCTGTCTTTACGTATTTGTTTGTAACCTTCTAAGGTATATAAAGGTGGAGATTGAGGATTTAACCATGTTTCGGTAATGCCTATAACTGAGCAATCGAACTGTAATGATGATAACAGGATATTCATATTTTCATTATTCTTACTTAGACTCCGAACATTACAATGTAAGAAACTAAGAAATTGTGTTTGTTGAGGTTGATCCTTTACAGGATTAAACTCATTAGGTACGTAGTACCTACAGTCAATATTTGGTTGTAATTGGTAATCTTCATTAGTCATTTAAGGATGAGAGTCTTGCAGAATTCGATATTTTGGTTGAATATAGTGACAGCATAAGTTGACACTGATTGGGGAGGCAAACTTAGGCTTAACTTAGGCCGCTGACCTAAGTCATTTCCATTTCTCGAAAGGCGGCCTAACTAATCC